TGAATATATATATATATATATATATATATATATATATATATATATATATATATATATATCATACATCGTATAGCATATAGCAGACATAAGAGCACACAAACATGCGTTTTGCTTTGCGGAAGTGATGTCGTGGTGTTGACAATGGACTGTACAGGATACCGTACCGCTGCGACAACCAAACATACATTTATGTAGTTGTGTACATATTTGCATGTATATATACGCATATTTGAACATATGGTTATGTAGTTATGGCATGTATGAGGACAGTTATTTTCTTGATACTAATCATGTTATCGCTGTTCAAGGTCACCTTGAGGTCGTTCCGGAAGCGTGGTGGCCCCTGTGTGTGTCCGTTTGCGTCACCACATTGGCGGAGGCCTTCACCAACCAGGCCGACAATCTGGTGCTGCCTCCACTCTTCGTTGTCGCCTTCAAGATGGCGGCTGTGCGTTGGTGGTGACTCGGATTACAAGGGTGGCGTTTGACGTGGGTGCTTAAATTCGTGTGTGGGCGGTGGTGGGCGGGCACAGACGGTTCGTAGCTATGCGCCGCGGGGTGCGATACGCTCAAAATACCGGGCCAGTGAACTGTAAACAACGGATATTGTGCTACGCTGTCTGATTTGATCGTGGATTTGCTATGCGCACTGTATGACTCCGTGGGGTGGAGGTAAGCCATATAAATGGATGTTAACGTGCCCATGTTATCGTGTTTTGTACGAGGTATCTTTTTATGCCACCGAAATAAAACCGGTCGCTATGTGAATGGCTGATTTGGAGAGCAGTCGCCGGCCATCATCGCCTCAGCGTCAACTGGCTGGAAGCTCTTTGGCTTGGGCGGCCCGGCGCAGCCTGGGCTAGCTAGTCACACTGGTGATGGCGGTATGCCCGTGCCAATTGCGGATAACAGATTTGTGGAGTTGCCCACAGCAGCTGCAAGCGCCGCGCTGTAACGTTTTCAAGACATCTGCCTGCCAGCCTTTCCCCGCTTCAATACTGAACTACGGTATGACAAAAGCAAGCGTGAGCATCGGTGTTTACGAGCAATGTACGTGACACTGTCGAGACCAGGCCCAGATCTCGACGACCTAGGGTCAGGGCGCCATGGATTCAATACGGTGAGACTGGGAGAAGAACGGACTACTCTGCTGGGACGTATAATGGTCCATGAGTGCAGCAGATCACAGGTGCCCCAGCACGCTCTATAGATCCCTTGATTTTTGGATTGTTTCAGGATTGCCCCTTGGAAATTTTCATTTGGATTGATCGTTGGAATAAAACAAATGTCCGTTGAACTTTCTGTGTGGCATAGAGCATGATGTACTAAATGTAGGTAAGACAGCAGTAAAAGCCTTATTCATCGTAGAAAGACCATGATAGTATATAGATAAAGAGACCAGATAACCTGCCCATGTTATTCGTGTTTTGTACGAGATATATAGAGATAGATGGGTTCGTATTTCGGTCACATCCCTATCGAAACGAATTCAGTGGTAATTTGAAAATTGCCTGCTGATCCTACTCCAATTTCCAGTTTTTCTTTTACAACAGCAGACCACAGTTTTTACAGGTCATCAACATTCGGAGGATTAAACAAGAAGCAATTGCCAGCCGATACTGTGATAAAGTGCACATCTAACTAGTGATTAGCATAGGCGAAAAATACGTACCCATGCGAACAAATTCAAGTAAACAGGCATCGCAAATCACGCTTCATTCAAAGATGCAAGCAAATTCAAGAAACGGGCATCACTCATCACGCATCACTTACCCATGCAAATGATTTCCATTAAATAGGCATCGCGCATGAGGCATCTCTAAAGGACATCATCATCATCATCAAGGCACCAGGTACAGAACATCTCAACACACGCCCGGATGGCCGGTTGGATGCCCTTCGCTCGGGCGGGGGTCAATTTGACCCCCTGAAATCTCAAGAACTAAGGGAGCTGGAGACACTAAATTCACGGGATGTGTTAACCTGTACGTTAACTCACTTGGGCGATAGTTTGATATTTCTAGGTAATGATTTTCGGGTCAAATAAGGTCAGACAAGGTCAAATTCCAGGTTGGTATCCAAAGAGCCCTTAGAACCTAGATAACTGTCCTAAGCAAAAAGTCACATGCTAATCTAAGGTCAGTGACCTTGCTTGACCTTGTGAAGGTCATGGTGACCAAAATCATGCAAGACTGCTTTGAGTTTTGCTTTTAGATAAGCGACAAAAATCACTCTAGGCAGTATGTTCCTAAAAATGAAATATTTACTTGGGCCATTCCAGGTCGGTGACCTATTCTGACCTTTCAGAAGTCTACGGGAAGTGTATAACGCGGTTCCTGTTGTCAATAAATTCGAAACGAGCACCAGAAACTACCCCATGCAACAAGCCTTAGAACAATAAAACATGTTGATTTTGGCCTTGGCCTGACCTTTATACTTGACTCTAGGTCAACGTAATTTGTTCATTAAATTGTTGTATTAGCTAAGAAAGTATCTCAGAGATGTATGGCTTTGTCTAACACTCCGCTGCTGGATCAGGTTGAACGATTCCCCAGAAATTGCCTTCGCTGAAACCATGACCTGACTTTGACCTGCCATAGGTCAGCGACCTTACAACGTTTATCTAAATTTTTGATACCGGACGATCCGCTTTTCAATTGCCTACAAACGGCGCGACTACGCCGCGCCGTTTGGAAATCATTCCGGGAAAGCCTTTGTGGGGGAAGGCAAGTTGACTCCCTCCCGAGGGCATGTTAAAAGAACTCTACACAGCAGCCCCACAGCACCAGGGGCTGAGAGACCCCGTGCTGTTGGCAACTGCGGGACTCGCCGCCAAGATTTCAGCGCCGCTGACTCGTTATCAGCTTCATGTCGCTGATCTTTTCAAGACGCCGCTGACTCGTTATCAGCTTCATGTCGCTGATCTTTTCAAGACGCCGCTGACTCGTTATCAGCTTCATGTCGCTGATCTTTTCAAGACGCCGCTGACTCGTTATCAGCTTCATGTCGCTGATCTTTTCAAGACGCCGCTGACTCGTTATCAGCTTCATGTCGCTGATCTTTTCAAGACGCCGCTGACTTGTTATCATCTGTTAGTTCAAAGGTTGGGTGACTTCCAGGTACCACGACAATTTAAAATCGCATTCACTCGTCCAAAAATGCTCTAGCCGCCTTCGCGCCGCTGGTACCGTCCGATTCACAAACATAGCGTACCGCTGACATTCTCTTTATGTGGTCATCGCATCGGTCATATCTGACAATCGGATACGAAGCTCAATTAATATTGATATTGAGTGCCGACGTCTAAATAGACTGACAGGCGTGATGTCACTAGGACGCGTTGTTCGGGTTCGCTGTGTTCGTTAACGTGTGTCCAGGGCACTACCTATCTATTCTTTTTATCTATTTTTTATTCTATTATCTACATATGCTATCTACATATTTTATATATTGCAGCATCTGAAGCGCAGCCCCTGAGGCAGTCAGGCCCAGAAGTGGTCAAGTATATACATGGAGGGGGGGGGGGGGGGGAAGAATAAGGAAATTGCACCGTCTACGTCGTCAGATACCATACGTGAGGATTGCATGCGCCCAAAATGTGATGTGAAAACACGTTTACGAATCAGTGCAGCATGAAAAAATTTGATGTCAAGAATTCTGTGCACGAAAAAATCCGATACGGAGAGTCACTTGTCCGAAGCAATATGACGCGAAGAAACGCGCATACAAAGAGATGCGATGCCTGCAGGGAGAAACGTGGCGCAAAGGAATGTGCATACAAAGAATCATGTGTGAGAAGTTTGTGGATGCAAATATTTGTGCAAAGATTTGAGTGCCAAGACTGGTGCTACAAAAATTTGCACACGGAAATTTAAATATAATGTTTTGCTTACAAATAAATACATTGCGACCTCACCTGCAAGGTTTTGTCGGATCTCGGGCATTCTCGGAGCAAAGTCGTGCAAGAGGCCACCCGCTGTCCTAGAATAATCTACTCGTTGCCTTTGATAACACCTTTTCTCCCGAGAACAGCCACAAAACCTCGTTGTTCGCGACTAGCCAGCTGGGCACCAGGTGCACGCAATGACTGGGCAGGAGCCTGTCGCACGCCAGTCATTGCGCCAGAGTCCCGAACAAACTTTTAGCAAATGATCATGAGAACACAAACCCATTGTAACACTATTCGTTTGAAGTTTTAGGACATATATCAAATACAAACAAATTAAAATCGTGTTTTTAAAGCGCCCAGAAGCTTACAAGTTACGAGCTGCCGGTGACACGCTGAAAAATAGTGCCTTGCCACTGTCCGACTAGGAAACACATGAAGGTGGCGCATTTCACGCTGGCGAAGTCGCTGCATGGTGAGCTTCGGCTTTTGCTTCAGTGCTCGTCGCCCGGCAAAAGATTTGCTGGTTTTTAAAGCGTCTGGCTTCTATCTGCCTGGAACGGTAGAAGACTGGCCGTGGTGGGCCTCCTGGCAACTGTCGCTCTCCACCGATGCCACCGAACCCAATCTTTTCTCAGCTTTCGTAAACTGCTCCTCACGTATTCGGCACATGTCGAGACCTTTGTCTCGCTTCCTCTGTTTGGGATCCCGCGCATGGATGCTGGGGACCAGAGAGATCCATCGTTAACAGGAACCCGAATTATACGACCCGTTTTGGGAATTTTAGCTCACCTTTGGCTTTTACTGTTGAAAGAACGTGTTTTCAACCTGTATTATACATAACATCGTGAAATGATATATTTTTAAAATAAATAACACACTTGGCATATTGGCATCGGACACACCAACATGTTATAAGTTAACAGCATACTTGAGCAGCAGCCGCTGTTCAACTGCGCAGGGCAGCGTCCACGTCCTGACCGCTCTGCAGCACCCCGTTTGTTGCACTGCGGCCACTCACGCGATGGCACCCACCACCGACCTGTATGTTGTTCGGCGGAAGTGGCGTGAAGGCAGCATCTCACGGTGCGTCAGTTCAGCATATCGATAACAAAGTCGAGAGAGGAACGCGCCCGCGCCGCCCACGCGCGCCAGCGAGCGGTCGGGAGTCGCGCAGCGCCGGTGGCAATGTCGCCAGCTGGCGCGGACGGAGGCCGCTGACACCGCTGTCACGAGCCGACGCGGTCGGCCGACGCTCCGCTCGGCGGTGCGCTGCCCTCACGACCCCGGCAGCCCGCCGCCGCAGGTGCGCGCCGCCCGCCGCAGCAGCACACCGCCCGCCGCCGGACGCCCGCCGACGTCGGAGGCCACCTGCTGCCGGACGCGACCGTCACTGATCACCAGCCGTCGACCAGTGCCATCGGCCGATGCGAGACGCACGTGCCGAGCGATCCTTTAGGTGTGATCTGACGTTAAGCTGGTCTCCTGCATGGTTCAGTGATGGCATGAGCAAGGCGTGTTCTATGCCAGCTGACAGACATGCGCCGGGCGTAAGCAAACCGCGAAGTGTGACGCCATTGATCGCCGTGATAATAAGTGAGATATGAATGGGTCGGACGTGTTTACAACACGCAAGCGAAATTTTCTCAGCCGAGGTTACGTTCTGATCCACCTGCACGGGGAAGTCGGATTCACATGCTGCCTGTGATTTGTTCTATGATTATCATCCCATTGAGCATGGTATCCCGCATGCTATTGTAAATAGTCGAGCCTGCTCAGAGCTCGGGCTGGAACTGAAGTGCGGTGACCGGCCGATCGGGCCGAGCGGGGATCCACGGTGCTCTGCCCTCCTCGGATTGGCTCCGCCTGCGCCATCAAACGG